GCATCTGCAAAAGTTCATGGGCCTAACAGATATTTTTATTGGAAATAATAGAAAAGAGAGGGTCATTGTTCCTGAGGGGCTGCTTTTTCATGAAATGAGTCTATCATCTGACATAATACAGAAGAGTTATGAAACACGCTTTTAAAGCAGCAAGACTTGTTAGGAGACGGGAATTAATTAAATGCACAGACCTATTAAACATATAGCATTGCTGGATTTTTTTCTGCTACTTGCTGATGTTCAGTTTAACTGATGGAGTTGTTATTTCCTAATCCTATCAGTACTACAATTAAATTGAATATAAAAATCACAGCTAAATTTCTGCAACTGAGTTCCAACATGCTGGGGTTTTTCTTCCCTCTCACCCTCTCTCCCTTCACACCCATGACAGAATACAAAATGCAAACTGAGGTGCAATCCGTGCCTGCCAACTGCATTGCTACAACTCGGCTACCGCCGGCTGACATTTCAAATTTTTGTTTCAGTGGCTGATGGCGATCCAATGCCTAACCCTCAGCTGGCTCCTGGCCACTAAAAGGACCCAGTCACTATGAGTACACTTAAGACATCAGAAGGGGCTCTTGAGGTTTTGTGGTGGGTTGACCTTGGCTGGACGCCAGGTGCCACCAAGCCGCTCCACTACTTCCCTCCCCAGCAGCGCCGCGGGGGGGAAAATAAGAGAAAAAACACGTGGGTCAAGATAAAGGCAGTTTAATAAAGCAAAAGCAAAGGCTGTGCACGGAAGCAAAGGAAAACAAAAGATTTACTCTCTACTTCCCATCAGCAGGCGACGTTCAGCCACTTCCCGGGAAGCAGGGCTTCAGTATGCCCAGTGGTTGCTCCAGAAGACAAATGAGTCCCCTCCTGACCCAGCTTTAATTGCTGAGCTGACGTCATATGGTATGGAATATCCCTTTGGCCATTTGGGTCAGCTGTCCTGGCTGCGTCCCCTCCCAAGATCTTGCCCACCCCCAGCCTGCTGGTCGGGGGGGAAGCTGGAGAGACAGCCTTGATGCAGTGCGAGCGCTGCTCAGCAGTAGCCAAAGCACCGGTGTGTTATCAACACCTTTCTAGCTGCCCGTACAAAGCACAGTGCTGTGAGCGCTTCTGTGGGGAAAATTAACCCATCTCAGCCGGACCCGATGCAGGTTTATTCCTTTCCAGCAGCCAGACGGCTGGTTAACGGAAGATGGCCAACAAAAGCAAGGGAAGCTCCTTTTTGGCATTCAGTAGTGAACAGACCACCTAACAGCGAATTCCCAGAATAAGCTCCTCTCTGCTAAGAGAGGCAGCACATGAAACGGCTACTGTGAGCACATCTTTTAAATCCAGGCAAGCATTTAAGGAAAAACTGTAACACGAATAAGAAAAACTTGCCAGAGAGGTAGGGGGGCCCAAACGGCCCACGTGTGAGTGCTGCTGTGAACAGGGCGCTACAGGGCTGCCTCTAGCACCAGCTAATTCAGCTACAGTGGTCGAAGTTCTGGTGTTGCCCAGCAAAACATGTTGACTGCATAACAAAGCCATTGCAGACTATCTGGAAAGTATAAAAACATGGATTCAAACACATGGTCAGTGCTATGGTGGAGGACTCCTACTCATAACATTCCAGGTTTTGACTCTTCAAACTTGGGTCTAGTAGAAAGCTGCACTTTCTGCAGAATTTCTCACCTTCCTACATGCTTCTTCTATCGCAAGAAAAACTGCATTTCAATTAGCATGACATTGTGCAGTCACACAGAAAATTAGCATTTTATTCTGTCATTGGATAATACGGCAAAGAAATTGAGTAAACCTGGATTCATAGCGTTTGGTTCAATAATTACAAGTTGTTTTTGCTAAATGTTTCATCCTAAACTTCTATAATGCTTCAGAATTTTTTTTATTGTATCCCCCTCAAACCAAGCAAAACATATACCAACACAGCATGAATTCTAACTTGCCAAAACTCGTATTAACTCACTTGCATCTGACTGCTCTATTAACAGAAGCCAGTTAATAGAGAAGTCTCTCAGAAGTCTGACTTCTCTATTAACACCTCTTTGCACTTACAATGCTGTGAGTATGGAAACCTGATCACAAATCCCAGAAGCAACAGATTAACATGCTAGTGCTGGTTAACTGAATTGCAATACCTGGTAACATACCTGTTCCTACCATACCTCGCAAAATAAAATGTATTCTGCTTTGTTTATGCACTGTGCTAAGATTTTGGTTGAATGAAAGCCACAGAAGTGTCTTTTTTTCTGAAGAAAATCCACAGAAACCACTCAACCCCGTGCTGGAATGCTTGTAGAATTCCAAAAGCTGTAATTTAGCCATCTTAGACTGGAAACAAGCATCATCAACAAACAAGTCAATTTTACTGGTTGCATTCTTATTCAAAACAGCTCCTTGAAGCAGAAGAATTTTGAAAAGCTCTCTATATTCAGTATAATATCCAGGATTAGGGTGTGTGCTGACATGGAGATTGGAGGGAAGGAAACAAGATACTTGAAGCCTGGTTTCAGGACTCGTCGGCTGGTTCTGCATGAAAGTACAGCCCTGAAGGCTCCAAAGACGTTTTCCAGGAAGCAGCGATTACAGGGGAGAAGATGCACATCAGATGGATAATGCAGGAGCCACCGTATGAGAAATCTTTCATTACTCAGATCTGCCAAATCACGCTGTTGCCTTCCGCTGGCAAACTAACAAAAGTAGCTTCAACATACCACAAAATCATGGTTTATATCAAAGTTAGATCATACTGTGAAAGAGCAAGGAAAAAGAACTACCAAAGATTTATAACAACTATGCTAAATAAAGCAAAAAGTATGCCAGTACAGATGTATCTTTTTAAAGTTACAGATAGCCTCAGTTAGGCTTCTTCCTTACAGCTGTCTGAAATGAGCAAACCCTCCTTGTAATATTTAAATCATGCAGTATTTCTTAAGAAGTCGAACACAGGAAAACAAGAAGGTACCAGTTCACTACTAATTTTGTTCTTTCTGCCTTTACTGCACATTTCTTTCCTGCTTGAATGGACTTGTCACTATTTAACAGTATATTGATTTTGTTTAAGAAAGTTAGAAGAATTTTCATGCACTTTGTTGGTGGAAAAGAAAAATGTCTGTGCTGTGAAAGTATGCTTACAAATTAATCTCCAACGACTGTAATACACATATAAATATAATACCCATATATTTCACCTAACAAATCTACAAGAATGCTATATTGCAACT